TTTACACTGAAGTTTATTTTGAAGCAACTCTTTTTCTAGTGTAATTTTTTCTTAGTCAAGTTCTGTTTCTCCCCCTGATTTTTGTTTTTTCAAAATACTCTATTTTCTGTTGAAGACTCATATAGGGAACAAATGCAACAAATAAAAAGCAAAAGTTGTCTACACTGCCCACCCCTGTATCACTGCTGTGTGCAGACTCTTCTGTAGGCCTTTGTATGTGGACTCCTGTCAGAAATAATAGGCATAGGCACAAGTAGAAATCAATTAAAGCCATCAATTAAATTAAAGTACTTCCTCCAAAGGACAGTCATCTGAGAAGTTTTCTTCACTCTCCTGTGCAATGTGTTTGATAACTCATGGCAAAATATTTTTTACATTAACATAAGTTTATCAGTTTTTACTTTCACAAGACAAAGCAATTTATCATTACTCAAGATTTAACAGTTGAAATGACTAAACCAGCCAATTCGGATTATAGGTCTACTTCATTTAATGCAGCAACAAATTATTTCACAGTGTACAAAGATAATTTAAATCTCATTTCCCAGTGATGAAGGTGTTGCTGCTACTGGTCCCTGATGTGGGTCTGGAAGAGCTGAACCCAGGGATGCCCTTCACAACAGGGCAATTCACATTCAACCCAAGGGTCAGCTCTTCTGCCAGGGTCAGGAGCATCATTATTATTATTTTTTCTCAGCATTTTTCCTGTTTGCTTTTATAAACAGACAATCATTTATTTAACAGTGCCTTTTTAAAAGAGACTAGTAAGCCTATAAGGCCTAAAATTACCATTAAGTAGAATATTTTTGTACTTCACTTTCACCATGTTTATTATTATAGTGTGGTAATTATGAAATTATGAAATAAAACAATAATAAGTTATTAAAACATCTAACATGGCCACCACAAACGCATTTAATTTGTCTTCTAGTTTTGCCAGCACTCTCTCCTGGCTTTTGCACACTTTGAGGTGTTCCCTGGCGTTTTAATTAAAGACTGAAATTCGGCATAACCTTGCATTAAAAGCGCGTGCTCTGCTTGGGAGAAAAACTGGGCGTGTTCTTTGGCCAAGCTGAACAGCCAATAGCAGCGTTGCTGATCACTGGTTCTGCTATCGATACATGTCCCCTTTTAAACCAACGCGAGAACGCGCAGTTATCTCAGATAACTCAATCCAGCGATACTAATCATAAACAGGTGTGTTCGAAGAACCCAATTAGCCGGATCATGATTAGCACGATGATATCATCTTAGATGTCTCATTTGATCTCGGATGTTTTAAGCAACGTACGAAGAACGAGCCCCAGGAGAAAGCCTGATCCCGAAACAGGAGAACAGAAGGAAACCAGAGAACGCTACACATGGGAAAACCACAAACCAACGCAGATTCAAGAAGGACAATGGTGTAACGGGAACACAGGCCACATCGCCAGAGCAAAGAGTCCGCTTCGAGCATTCAATGCCGCTATGAGTGATGGAGAAACACTCTTTGGCATGTGTACAAACTGATGCATTGAACAAAGTGAAAGACTGTTGAGTGTCATGATGATGGCAGACTTGCAAACCTTGAAACTGATACAGAATCGTGTCAGTCAGCCTCGAATGAGGGAATGTTCAATGACATCTAGAGAGACTCCCGAACTGAGATCCAGAAATCAGTGGAGAACGTCCACAGGATCCGCTAGAGATTAATACCAGCAGAAGAACAGGGCCGTATCGCACAGCATGCTGGGAGAAGTCCTGAGTGAGACAGAGCTGGGGTGCTACTCATTTGTGCATCCTCGTTTCCTTCCCTTGCTTCCTTTCCTTGCGTCTCAGCTCCACCCCCTGTAGGACGCGAGGGAAGGAAGCGAGGAAAGGAAAGGAGGACAGAGGAATCGAATAAAAGCTTTTTTATATATATTGGAATTCTTGATCACTCGCTCAGCAGCGCTAAAAGGATCTGCCCTTATGTTGTTGAAGTTTGGTTATTTAATAAATTCATAATAAATAATAATAAAGATAGACTATACTGTTGAAATATCTGAGATGTGTGGTTTATATAAACTGCAAAGGTAAAGTATAAATTAAAATGATTGTGACCGATGTGAAGGGGGAGGAGAATTGACACGTGCGTCACGTTTAGTCAGTAGCCTATCACAGTTCCGCGTAGGATGCACCTGTGTATCCTCGCTTATGACTCCTCCTATCTCCTCGATCCTCGATCCTCGACTCCTCCCGGTGCAATTAGAGAATTGAGATGTCCTTCAAGACGGCTGAGCTCGATCGGTTTCCGGGTCATATGGAGGACGGAGGAGCGAGGAGACGACCCTTTTTACTCTTAGGGGGCTTTCACACTAGTAGTTTAGTTCGGAACGGGGCACGGTTCGCATGAAAAATCGCTAATGTGAACGCTGTCATGGGACCCGGGTGCGCACTGGGGTACCGAACCCGGGACTGCATGGAGGAGGTGGTCTGAGTTCGGTTGGTTCGCCTGTATGTGAAAGCAGCACGGACTCGGGCACACACTTGTTCAGGAAGTAAAGTATCCTGCGCATGCGTTTTAGCTTATTGTGATGTATTCAGTTAAATAGAACACTTGTAAGGGATGATAGTAGGCTTGTTTGAGATGAGCAAATTCTGCGCAGAATCGATCACCGGTGATCAGCGCGAGATGCATGCCGGTTAGAAATGTGTCCGAGAACGGTCCGCCTGGCTCTGATGTCATGCCGACGTATGTCAAAAAACTCTCGCGAGCGCAAGGCGGAAGGGTCGGATTCTGCAGTCGCGCGCAGTTGCTCTCCACCGACTGCGCTGATCAAAAGCATGATGGGAAACGACTTACTGACGACACAGCTTAATGCTCATTGGTTTAAACAACAGTGATGAAGCTAAATTCTCCAAATCAAGGCCATATTTTATTTATTTATTTATTTTCAAATTGAAACTGATATGTATTGTGGATCTCTTAAACGGGTTAAAAATAAGAATGCTATAGTCAGTAACTCAAATAGGCCTATACTAGGCCTACTCTAAAATGTTCAAGTGAAAAATAGCTCTCATTTTATAGATGATGAAGTTTGTAAGTCTGTCTATTTAAGCTAAGCTTATTTTGATTTATTTATTTATTTTATTATTAATTTTATTCTGATGTTTATTTATTTGTCACTGTATAATAAGCCTATTTGTTTCACGAATTGTGGTGCTTGTAGGTAGGCTATAAAAAAGTAAAATAAATCAAAATACAAATAAAAGAACAACAGATGAATTGTTCTCTTTTAAAATGTTTGATTTTAAAACTGATATCATATTTTATGTGTATAGGCTACATATGGGTGAATAAACTCTCTGACAGTGCCATATGGGTTATATTTCATTTTTGTTAAAACAATAGGCTATATAAAAACACGTCTGTATTAAAGAAAAAAAAGATTGATAAACACATATTTGGAATGTAATTAAATAACAAGTAGCCTACTTTGGGTGTCTTGTTCATTATATTTATTTTTATATAAAAGCAATAGAACTTAAATCACATCCAGTTTTATTAGCAACACGTGCACGAGCGTGAATCCCGTTAATCCCGCGATATCCGCCTTTGATCTCACAGGTGTCTGATTCACTGCGAGAACCGAGATATGTCCGGCTTTATTGCGCTTTTTTCACTCCTCCCCTCACTGCAGCCGCCTACTCTCGACTACATTGCAGGCGAGGCGAGGCGCATCTCAAACAAGCCTATTGTTGATGATTGATTTACCGCGAGAGTGTGTAGGCTATTCGTGCATTGCGCGCGCGCCGTGGAATCAGAGCAACACATTTGGAAATCCACTGTCTCCTCAAAAGAGTCCGTTTGCAAGCAGTTCACGCACAGTAAACCTGTATAGTTCACTCAACTGCTCACGATAGCAGCACAATAATAATAAAAACAATATTTACACGTTCGCACGTTCGCGATGACGTCATATGCACGCAAACGCAACAGGGTTCGATAGAAGTTGAGTGTAAAATCAGACCAAAGCTGCGGGGGCGCCGGGAACAAACGAGCCCAGTATAAAAGCCCCTTCCCAGTCTCTCCCTTAAGCTGTTCAGACCGGCATCAGTTCCTTTCTGCTGAATACACGTCCGTAACCAGTTGATGGATCCCATTAGGACTCCCACAGTAGGAAACAATACTATGGAATTGAGTGGGATCCATCAACTGGTTTTTCAAGATATCTTCTTTTAAAATGAGTTAACTCTTGATGTGCCGACCGATGTCAAGGGTTTCCAGATCTAGATCTGAACCAAAGATGGAGGAATAGATTAATGGACACAATCATCTCACCTGTTGCAGTTTTGCTACTATTTTCAGTAGCACCTCAGTGCAGAACATGAGATCCACGGGGAGGAGTCAGATCACGATCCAAGGGGTGGAGATGGGGTAGGATTAGGGTTGGGTTTAGGGATTAGGGGGTGGAGTTGGTTAGGTTTAGGTGTAGGCTATGTGGGAGGAGTTGGATCTGGATCTGACTCCTCCCCATGGATTTCATGTTCCGCAGTGAGGACCATCTCACTATTTTCACAAGTAGGCTACGGTGTACATTATCACAACAGATCATCAAAAGTGCACTTTTTGCAAACATTTCAGCTTTGTTTCAACTGTGTTAGTAGCTACAATACACAACATCATGACGGTTTCATCTATAAACATTTCCTTCACAGAAACTGCCAGTCATAAATCTCTTTTAAGTCATAAGTCACTTTTAACTCATTTGCATCTCTTCTTGTTTACTTTAATACATTTATCTATTAATGAAATCCACTGCGATCTCTAAACTCTGGCCAGTTGATAATACCTAGCATATCTAAATCGACTGCAGGCGGGAGATCCTTTTCCTATTTAGCACTAAAACTCTGGAACAATCTTCCTGACATTGTCCGGGAAGCAGACACACTCTATCTCTCTCTCTAATCTAGCAGACACATTACACACTATAGACTTCCTTAACTCAGAATCAGACTGTCATGGTGCTGATATCCTTCTCTGCCTCCCTCTCCTGGTCAGACTCGTTATTACATCCTCTAACACTTCCACTTTCACATTCAAGGCTTTTATTGCTGACTGAGAAGTCTCACAAGTTTTTTAGGTGAAAAAATACGGTAAGTTGTTGAGTAAGGGCAGTTCAATGACAGATCTGAGGCCTCAACCTTCAGCGCTTTGTTTCTGGTTTAGTGTTGCCTAAGTTTGACGTGATCGTAATGGGACTGAAAGTTGAGTCTTGTGCCAAGTGAGTAATGCTTTATTTTCTTGTCTTGTGGTTGGTCAGTTCTTTATCTTGTTCTGATGTTTCCCAGATGTACATATGGCCAACCTGTACCTGGTCAAGCCTCAGTGGAAGTGTGCCGTGAACCCTTTTCCATCCAGTCTGCTTCATCATGACCGGACAGTGCCTGACTCAAACCGCAGGTGTGTGACTCCTGCCTTACCAATGAGGGTTTTCCTTTTGCCTGTGCTTGACTTAATTAATTATCTTTCTTCTCCTACCAGATGAATGCCACGGGCTGTGCCTCTCTTACTGTTGATACATCAGTGCTTTTCAACACCAAATTTGAAGACCAAATGCAAGACTCATTTCTTGTAAATGTGAATGTTACTGAGGAGGGAACAGGTGAGCTATTGGCTGATCTCAACAATATACTCTTTATCATCTTTAGAAGACATCCACTTTAAGCCACAAAGTTGATATTCTTCACTGTTTGTTTGGACTTTCTCTCGCAGATGTAATGGTGTCAAAATCTGCAATGGTGTCCATTACGTTTGTAGTCGGCAAAGTCACCTTTGTGGACCTCCTGGTTCCTTATTTTGAACCTGGATCAATGCTTAATGGAAAGACAAGCAAAATGTCATCCCTTATCGCAGAAGCCTTCAAATTGGTTCCCTTTCCTAACCTTGATCATTCCTAACAGATATCTGTGACTCGTTTTGATAAGACTCCAATTGCAAACAAAGCTGTATATCTCTTGGAGGGGAGCAGTTTGTTGGAGAGGCTGGTAGCTACAGCACTGACATGATCTATATGGTGAGTGGACATTAGTTTTAAGTTTTCTGGTCTGTTTGTTCCGCAACTTGCACACCCATGTCTTCTGTCAGGTCTTATCCAAAGGAGTGATTGTCCTCCATGGATTTCAGACGGTTAAAGCAAAGGCTGGTGATTCGGTCGCAAGCGGCTCCGTGACGTTCCAGTTGTCCGTCAGTGTCGATATGGCTCCAGCAGTGCAGATTCAGGTCCACAGCAGCGTTCCTCCCAGTGAGAATGTAGTTGCTGCTAGTGTGCCGTTTGACACCGATATGTGTTTCCAGAACCAGGTACTGTATGATGTGGCTATTTTTCAATTTGGGAATGTTGGTGTGTGTCCTGCAGCGTGTTGGTCCGTGTTCCAGGTGTCTCTGCAGTTTTCTCCAGGGAAACGTTCGGATGGATCTCTGTTGCCTCAGTGCTGTAGATCAGAGCCTACGGATCATGGTGCCAGGGAGACATCTGAAAGGGTATCTGTGTAAAAATAAACTGTAAAAAAAACCCTACTGTTTAAAATGTAGTCTTTTGTGTTGTAATGGTCTATACTAGCTTTTTCCCCCTGTTTTTTGTTGTTTTAAAAAAACTAGCTGTTACTGAATGTGAACTTTTATTCGACGGTCGGAAGGAAGGATGGGCGGAAGTAAGTCCGTCCGGAGACCCAGCCCAGTTTGTTTTCTTCTACAAACAAACTTGCATTATTTTCATGTTATCACTGTGAAGCTGCTTTGATACAATCTGTATTGTAAATGGCGCAGTATAAATAAAGGTGACTTGACTTAAATAATCATTTAGATTTATATATTGATTCAATAGAACTTGTTTGTTTAGTATTTCTTTATACATAACAAGTGATTTATTGATAATATGTTCAAAGTGTGTGCACATGTTTTTTGTGTGTGTGACATCAGATCACTCTTGTTAAGGTGAATATAAAACACTGTAGGCTAAAGTTAGTGTCAGGTTCGACATTCATCACGAGTTTTCTCTTGCAACTGTTGGCAATCTTACAAAGATATAAATAATACCACTTTGTTTGAGCAATATGCAACAATTGTATATCGACGTGAAATATTAATTTCAAAATCACCAACGTGCATTATAGCCGCATATTTTCACCTGAGAATGTGTTGATGCCTAGGGCAATGTCTGCCAATTCCACAAACTGCGTTAAAACGTATAATCTGAATTGATTACAATTTCAGACGTTCATTTCAAATGGGAAAGCTTGCAGGAAGTTCCTATTGGTGAGAGACAGACTGAATTACTACAGGTAGCCTACATTTTTTAACTTCATGTACAAGAATAATTTTCATTAAATATACTGTACTGAGATATTTTCTTCTTGTTTCAAAGCTTGTAGTTGGACATGTGAATTGTAATGATATAAGATCCCCATGACACAAGAGGTCGCTGTTGTTAATGAATGTTGACAGACTAGCAGTGGCTGTATTCACTGAGATATTTTCTTCTTGTTTCAAAGCTTGTAGTTGGACAGGTGAATAATGCAACATCTCACCTGTAGTAAGTCAGGCTACTCGCTAGGCATTTACAGTAACTTTGTAAATACATTGTAGTTCACTGTAAATAATTTGTTAATTTGAATGAATGATGAGACGTTTCTGTTTTTGGACCGTGAGCGGAAATTGCAGACAGTCCCTTTGACTGCTCTCTGCGCATGCGCACAGCTGAGTTTAGTTTTTCTCGGAAGTCACAAACTCCTGCAAGCTTTTGTTTTTCTTTTGGATTAGTTAAAGACTTTCACCGGTGGAGAATGGCGTAGATGATTTTGTACCTGAAGTAAGACATAATCAAAAATGTTTGTGAAACTTTGTGCTTAGTTGTTTTACTGAAGTTGTGTGTTTGAACAGAAACGCGTTTAGACCAGACAACCATTATTGAAAACAGGTAACTTAGAGTTAAGTCAAAAATACGAATGAATGTTGAAGACAAACTCTCTAGGATGAATTGGTCAGACAGACCAATGGGTAATTCAGTATGTGAATCAATGTACGTCAAAGGCTGCATCAAGTCTAATTTGATATTTGCTGCTAAATTATGGACGATATAATTTCTGAAAACTATTGATATTTAAATAATTTAAATTTTTGTCGAGATAATTAATCACTAATGAAGTGATTAATTACCATTAAACAATACTTCTCGATAGAAAAATCATGCAGTTTCATATAGATATGATTATATAGACGCATATGAGCACATGAAGCATCATCTACCATAATCTCCATATTCTGCTCCATTATTGCTAATGTATTATATATAACCCTGACCTGACATAACTTTTAACTTGTTTTGAGACTCGTCAGACTTTCATATACAACAACACACACTATAGTGACTAACCCTAACCCAGACTTTAAAGCTGAGTGTTTTGAATGTTTCCGATGATGATGATGGTGATGGTAGAGTTATGGTTTAAGTTAGCCAGAGATTTTCTTACGGTAGGGTCCAAACCCACTCAACTCTTGATATTGGAAGTGGATATTGGAAGCAACTCTTATCAATATATTTATTAAGTAAAATATTGATAAGATTATACTAAAATGCATGATTACAGCTAGAAAGATTCAGACTTTGTTCCCAACAGTTCAAGTACATACTCTTTCATTTAAATATGCTTTAACACACACACACACACACACACACACACACACACACACACACACACGGAGCGGAGTGGCTCGCCGTGATTGTGCTGCTGATGTAGATGTGTGTGTTGCAGATTTCCCAGAGGTCCCCCTGAATGATGCGGGTGCCGCTGTGGTTGTGTGTGTGTGTCCTGACGCTGGACATGAGCGCGAGCCACACACTCTTCACCTGTGAGCCGGTTCGAGTGCAGTGGTGTGTCCAAATGCCCTACAACACCACCTTCTTCCCCAACATGCTGGAGCACTACGACCAGGACATCGCTGCGCAGAAGATGAAGGTGTGTGTGTGTGTGTGTGTGTGTGTGTGCGCGCGCGCGCGCGCGCTGAGCACTATGACCAGGACATCGCTGCGGACGACCTCACTCGTACGAATTTCTACGATTTGTCTAAACCCACGTGACGGTTATGTTTAGGGGCGGGGTCAGGGGTAGGTCATTCGTACGAATTCATACGAATTGGCTAATTCGTAAAATATGTACGATTTAGCAAAATCGTACTAATTCGTACGAGTGAGGTCGTACGAATTGTTACGATTTAGCCACCTCGTAAAATTCGTACGAATTCCCGTGAGATCGGGTTGGCTGCGCTGAAGATGGAGGTGTGTGTGTAGGGCTGTCAAACGATTAATCACATCCAAAATAAAAGTTTGTGTTTACATAATATATGTGGGTGCAATGTGTATAATTATTTTAGATATATAAATACACACACATGCATGTATATATTTAATAATTATTTTCATATATATACTGTATATAGATTTATATATAATTTATATTATATATAAATATTTATATATGTATAATATTTTTTTTCTTAAATAGGGCCTATACATTCATGTGTGCATATATAAATATATATATATAATATATATATATATATATATATATATATATATATATACATACACACACACACACACACACACACACAAAATAATTATATGCAATGCACCCACATATATTATGTAATCACAAACTTTTATTTTGGATAGAATTAATCGTTTGACAGCCCTATGTGTGTGTGTGTAGCCCCATTCACACAGAGAGTTGATCCCAGGAAATTGCCGGCAAATTGCCAGAACGCCTTCTGTGTGAACGCAAACACGACCTGGGATTGATTCTGGGATTGATTCCGGGTTGGGGACCTAGTAACATTGCCGTAATCAGTCCCGGAACGCGCGCTGTGTGAACAAAAGCCAGGACCAATGCCGTAAAGGGTGTGTCATATTGATGACGCTCGTGCCATCGCGCGACTCTGTTGCTCTTATATTAGAAGAAAGTTTGTGTTCGTCATCAACAAAGAAAGGACGAACAAAACTGGAGCGAAGCAGAGACTAGGGGTGTCCATGGTTAACCGGTTAACAGATTAACGTTAACCGTTTAAAATTGCATAACCAAGTGAAACCTTTTTGCTTGGTTAAGTGGTGTCAATACATATTTGCACAAAACTTTTGCGTTTTTTTTTTCTGATTGTCGATAAAAAAATATTGTGAAATGACAGCGTTTCTATTAACGGTGTTATGCGACTAAAACATTTTTTTTTTCCTTTCGCGATAAGCCATTCCAAAAATAATGGCAACGGACGTTGGTATAGGCCTATCACAGCCACCGCACTAGACATATTATTTATGGAAGGAGACGTGGTGTGTCATCCAAGCATTAATGGCAGGAAAAATCACAGAGTTTCTATGTGTTTCTCCCTCATTTCTGCTCCGCGGTCTTGATTGTGGCATTTCTTTGAGGTTTTGTCTAGTCGGCTATTCCTTGTATCTTTTATGAATTTTAAAAAAGAACTCTGCCTCGTATATGTCCAAACGGTCAGTGTCTGTTGGGGGACCAACAAAATAAAGTGTTAGCAGATATTAAAGATGAACTGAACTGAAAAATTTCGACTTTGAAAACGTGTTGTTTATGACAATTAAAAATAAATTACACTAAACATTTTTTTAAAATATATATTAATATAGCTTTTTTAAGCAACGCAAAAAATGTCCGGTCAGTGTAGGCTACTTTTGTGTTCATTCGTTTCCCCTTATTTAATCCGTAGGCCTAATTGCAAAACGAAAAATGAGCGGTTGTTGGCCTATTTTGTAAAACGCAGAGTTGAACACCAAAATGTTACTTCAAATGCTGCGCAAAAATATATAGGCTATACGACGAATTTTCAGATATTTGTTTGATTTTTTGCCCCTTTAAACATTTAAAATATTTGACAAATGAATATGGAAAAAAAAAAATATTTTACTGGTTTTCTGAGGCCAAATTAGAACCTGGAAATGATATTTTCCCCGCAGTGCTGAATGAGAAGAGCCGTAACCACAGCCTACAGAAAGGGGATTTATAGATGATTTATAAGATATAATAAATGTGTCTGATAATAAAATAATATACAATAACGAGGCATTAATTGTTTATTAATAAACTATTGTTTTCTAAATCAGTTTCTACTAAAACAAATCTCCATCCCCGGATGCACCTTTAGAGAGAAATACATTTTAGCTAGGCTACATAGTCAGAAGATACTGGCTTTTGATTCGAATTTTTTCGTTTTAAATTGGACATTTAAAGCTTTAGACTAAAGCTTTAAATGTCCAATTTAAAACGAACAAATTCGAATGCGGCTGTTTCAGGTCTCGCGCTTCAGTTCACGGAAATCATGAAGCGCGCCTGTTTGTTGAAGCCCAACGTTTTCTTGTTATTGTGAGTTTACACAAATAAATGTATTTGCGAATAATGTATTATTATTTTCTGTATGACCAGAAATGAAAGAGTATTTTAAGTTGTTTCCACTGAAAGAACTGCAATGAAACTGCAAGTGTTCACATGGGCGTCTCGCAGCCTCCACACTAAGCACACACACGGATATGCGTCAAAATATTGTGTTTATTTGGGCTTTGTTCCTTTTTTGGATAAAAGCGTCTTCTACTCTATATACAGCCTATAAAATGTTACAATAATGATTATTATTATTATTATTATTTGCGGACACGGAGTTTTTGCGAAATGGACGTGTTGCCAATGTGCATATTTTCAATTGGCAATTTCAGTTTGAAGGGTGATGGAAACGCACCTACTTTAACTGCTCTGAACTTACCACTGCGTTTTATTTCTATAAATTAATTTCGTTTCAAATGGGCTCCAACCAGTTATTAAAAGTGTTAAAAATTAACTCTGTATCTCGAGGTTGCGGCGCGCACACTATGGTTAACCGAGTATTACCCGATAGGGCCTCGGTTAACGGTTAATGAAAAACTTGAAAACGTGCAGCCCTTCCGTACTGAAGCTGTGATCGTTCATCAGCTTTGTGGAACGGTATGCGCGTGTACATGTTTTCGACGCGTCCGTTATACGTCTCATCCTGACGTCATGTGTCTTCCCGGGATTTTTACGGGTTGTGTGTGAACGCACTCACAGATCCCGGCAAATCACTTGCAGTGTGAATGAACCGAAATCAAACATTCCCGGGACAAATGCTGGGTCACATTATCCGTGTATTTTCTGGAATCTCTGTGTGAAAGGGGCTGCCCCTTTCACACAGCGAGTTGATCCCAGGAAATTGCCGGCAAATTGCCAGAACGCCTTCTTTGTGAACGCAAACACGACCTGGGATTGATCCCGTGTTGGGGACCTAGTAACATTGCCGTAATCAGTCCCGGAACGCGCGCTGTGTGAACAAAAGCCAGGACCAATGCCGTAAAGGGTGTGTCTTTAGTGATGACGCTCGTGCCATCGCGCGACTCTGTTGCTCTTAGAAGAAAGTTTATGTTCGTCATCAACAAAGAAAGGACGAACAAATACCTGCAAACTGGAGCGAAGCAGAGACCAGGAGCTCCTCACTATCCGTAGGGGTGTCCATGGTTAACCGGTTAACCGATTAACCGTTTAAAATTGCATCGACAATACATATTTGCACAAAACTTTTGCGTTTTTTTTTCTGATTGTCGATAAAAAAATATTGTGAAATGACAGCGTTTCTATTAACGGTGTTATGCGACTAAAACATTTTTATTTTCCATAAGCCATTCCAAAAATAATGGCAACGGAAGTTGGTATATCAGCCACCGCACTAGACATTATTATTATTATTTATGGAAGGAGACGTGGTGTGTCATCCAAGCATTAATGGCAGGGACAGTCACAGAGTTTCTGTGTGTTTCTCCCTCATTTCTGCTCCGCGGTCTTGATTGTGGCATTTCTTTGAGGTTTTGTCTCGTATTCCTTGTATCTTTTATGAATTTTAAAAAAGAACTCTGCCTCGTATATGTCCAAACGGTCAGTGTCTGTTGGGGGACCAACAAAATAAAGTGTTAGCAGATATTAAAGATGAACTGAACTGAAAAATTTCGACTTTGAAAACGTGTTGTTTATGACAATTAAAAATAAATTACACTAAACATTTTTTTAAAATATATATTAATATAGCTTTTTTAAGCAACGCAAAATTGCGCTTGTTTGCGCTGGCAGTTCCGATGACGTCACTGGCATGGTAGGACCCGCGGAGCGCCATAGACAACAGCTGTAGGTCCTGTATACACAGACGAAAATGAGCACTTTTAACGGCATGGATTACGCATTTGAGCCCGTGAGGGACAGGCCGGTAGTGTCTAACTACCACCACATGGAGGACGATCAGTTTCAGGCTTCACTTGCAGTACAGGATCGTTAGGGGGAAAGTGACTGTGGGCGCGAGCGCTGTGGAGCATAGACACTGAACGGAGACGATCTGTTGCAGAGAGGTCAACATGGACATTTATTGATCGGCGAAAAATGCATCACCATGCACCGTTCATTTCGGATGCTGTTCGGTGAGAGAAACGTGTTGAAGGAGGCTATGCTGTCTCTAATGGATGTCCGAGCTGAGACGCGAGCGCCCCATAGGGTATTTTACGAATAGGTGACGGCTGGGCTAACTTGTTACACTTTTCTCAGATTGTTTAGATTAACAACGTACTGGCAGTTCACTCTATGGGCGAGGGTGCATTTAGGAAGGAGAAAATCCCATCCTTTACAGTAAACTATACATCAGGGATCTTTTCCCCCTCACCCGAATATCAAGGATTCGAGTAACGTTAACGTGATGCATTGAACTTGTAACTTGTGTAAATAAAACATTTCATGCATTGTCAGACGTTTCATGTACTCATTGACGAAAGTACACATCTCTAAATAGTGTGTCGCTAAAAAATCTGTTTCCTCAGCCATGTCAGCGAGCCTCAGACTGTTTACAAGCTACGGCTGTTCTGCTGGTGCGGGTAGGCAACGGAGTGGCTTACCAT